TAAAACGTTGTGATCATTGACAACACCTCAAAGTGACTCTATCATGAGACAAATGATTAAATATTCATCTATCTACCTAGCCTCCTACGCAGACGCTCTTTGGGATTGTCACGCAATCTTTCCTCGCCCACGAACGTTCGTGGGGGAGGAAAGATTGCGTGACGATCCCAAACAGCGTCTGCGTAGGAGGCTACTATCTACCACGATGAACAATAATTTCCCAACATCAGACAAAAAATATAAACTAATAGGTGTCCCTTTCATAGCAGTATCTGGATTACAAACATTATATATATGAGTGTGGTAAAGGAGGTGTTCCCTTAATAGAGGTGGCACCCGAAGTAGAGGTTCCACTGTATGTTGTAAACTTGTATAGGTGATTTAATACCTATACCAGCTTAGAAAATTGAGGAAAAACAGCTTATATAACCTATAATCTTCATTTTTAAGTATAATCAAGTTTACAAAATATTTCAAGGAAGGGCTTTCCTTACTTTTAAGTGCAGTGCATCAAAAATGCGTCATAATATTGTATCTTGTCTGTTCAAATCATTGATTGTAAGCTTAATCATTCTCTGAAAAGTACAGATCACGTAGTTTAACGAGTGAAAAATTCGATTCGTCATTTGTGCGAGCAATACATCAATTCAGGATTCCGTCACATTTTCAATTCGCCGTTGTAAAAGCACTTTGAAGAAATTCCAGGCTTCGAATAATAACACATAAGCTTAAAACATTCATAAACGTGTAATCATATCATCGATCTGATTTTCACCTTGCTTGATATTCCAGCTCTTGATCTGTGCGCCTTGAGGCATTTCAAATTAATTTACGGTCCCAACGTCAACTCCACCTCTTCCTTAAATTGCCGTGCATAATTTTAAACAAGACGGGAAATATTTAACAGGCAATGATTTTACGTTTCAATTCGAGAAGAAATAACAACAAAATAAAACTCCGCAAGTCGGCCATTTGCAAGGAAGACTATTTCGCCAATCACGACTAATGTAAGAATCATAAATCTAAAGACCAATCAGAGTTGGGCGTTATATCAGCGTAGCCCAGGGTCTTCTCCGCGCCCAGCCGCCCATCTTGAAAGCGGAGTAGACCCTGGGAACGAGGTTGTGACAACAGCGTAGTTACACCTTCGGCTATTTTTAGAATCGTTCTCCCGCGAAAGGATTTCCGTGTATGTTTACGGACAATAGTGATAATTCGTAGTAACGACATTCCGCCGTTCTAGTTTTACTCCACGTTCGTCTCGTCCATTCCTGATTTTATTTATTATCTGAAACATGAATGACAACCTCGTTCTCGTGCTCGCAACGGGTGATGTTTGCGGGCAAAAGTAATTCTAAAAATAGCTCAAGGTGTTTACTTACGTCATAGGCCCAATTAGGGAGATGGAGGCTCCAGGGTGATATGCTCCTGACAGTATAAATTAGCAATCACAGTATAAATTTGTTGTCGGAAACATTCGTATTATTGGTTTTATAATTACTATCTACATTTCTGTCATGTATTGCTGTATAACCCGTCTTAGAAATATTATTATAATATAGTGTTCCTCTCCCTGGTCCTTGTGGTCAAGCATGGTACCATGAGAGGATTTGCCGGTTTTCAATCATTTCTATGTTATCCGTTGTTCAGTTTTAAAACCTTTTTTAAAAGCCAACAGCAGCTTATTAACCGAAAAATCACACATTTTGAATTAGTACTTTTAAGTTCCGAAGCTTTTGTAATTGTTAGTTTTCTCAGTTAATAATGAGTTTTAGTTAATTTCTTGTAACGGAGTCTAAAGGTCTCCGCGTTTATTGAGCATTTCTTGAAAGTGTTACTTTTCTGGTCAATAGTAAAAGTTCCGTTCCGGAACTCGTGCTTCAATTGCAATTCATCGCGTTCAAAGTATGAATGCTTAGTGTTAATTAGTTTGCTGACCTGTTTAGTTTTTGTTATGAATACTTTCGCTGACTCATCCAGTTTCAGTAATGAATGTTTGGTTAGTTAATTTGTTTTAGGTGAGAACTTGCGAAACGAAGCCGCTTCTTAGCGCCTCGCAATTTATTAGCTATTCACTAGTTTTAACTTGTTTCGGGAGTTTTTTAATTTAGCGTATAATTTTGAAGGTACTTTCCCAGCTAGGTTACGAACACTTTCAACAATAACCTCTCGAGTTAGAGTAGAATTTAGTTGCGCTATCCTGAAAGGACCTTTTCTTCCGTTGTAATTGCTTTTCACATCTTTAACGTTAGCACACTTAGGTCGTGTTCTATTGGGATCAACCGTTTTCAACCGCAACCGGTTCGGGTTGAAACGGTTGAGGTTTCCCAATAGAACACTTTCCAACCGTTTTCGGTTGAAACGATTGCAACCGTTTCAACCTAGTTTCGGTTCGGTTGAAAAGGTTGATCAACCAAACCAACCTAAAACGGGTTTTCCCCAATAGAACACGAAAAAAACCCAACCAACCCAACCAACCTAAAAGGGTTGTTCCCAATAGAACACGACTTTATTGTACTCTCTTAACAGTGAGACGCATGTACAATCATATCTAAGGAAGTAACTTGTAAAGTTTCTTTGATTACATCCTTGATACATCGGCGATGGTTATGTAATCAAAACTAAAACTGATGTTGGAACCAACACAACAAACAACAACAAGCTTTATTAAGTCTTAGATCAAAATACATAAATCCCGCAAATTAGCAGGGCTATTCGAGGCGGGAGGTGAAGAAAAAACAAACAAACCAAGTTCTGTCTCCTCCTTGACGTCCGTAGACGTTTTCCAGTGAAGTAGATCACCGTACCGAGAAATAGGGACGGTTTCTGTTCCCGCAGGCCAAGTGGTCTTTCATTTTGAGTTAATCCCCCCCCCCCCCCCCTACCCGTAGTTTCACTGCGTTTCCGTTAGAGTTTCAGAAAGTGTCCATTGATCCGAAAAACCTGTCGTCTCCTAACAATAGTTTCCTGTCATTCTTTCCCCTTTTTTTGAGTTTGACACCCGGCTGTAATTTGCGATGTTTTGCCTAGCCAATATTACCTTGGCTCATTTATAAATGCAAGATATATTTACAGCTATCAGTATCTTAATCAAGTTACCTTGACTTGTGCATTGTATTATAAAAAAAGAAAGAAAGAACATGGCACGAATTTTTACATAGCCAGACACAAACAACGGAGAAGGTTTGGGATAATTGGAGATGTTTATGTAAACCTGAGCTGCAGACAAGGGTTCTCATAAAGTACTTTCAAAATTCACCCAGACTTTCTTGAGACAAAAAGGCCAGGATAAAGCCAACACAATTACAATGGTATGTCTTAATCGTGTTTACATGTACATAGCTGCACAAACCAATAAGAGCATGCGCATGCGTCAACATGATCACAATTTTATAATGTTATTTTTTGTAAAAAGAGTGACTTGTTACCTTTTGTGTTTTAAGGTGTAAGGACTTCGTTATGATTGGATCCTGGGAGAAGATATATTACGAAAATTATTTCCTTGGTGAGAAAACATTCAACTGCAAGGACTGTGGGAAGGTATAACTGGACGCAGCTTGAAAATCACGAAAAAATGAACACAGGAGAGCTCCAATTTAAATGCGGCCAGTGTGGCAAGTGCTTTAGTAAGAAAATAAATTTAAAGCAACATCAAATAATTCACACAGGAGAGAAACCGTTTGAATGCAACCAGTGTGGAAATTGTTTCATTTCGGCATGGCGTCTTAAGTCTCATAAAAGAACACACACTGGTGAGAAGGTCGTTTGAATGCAACCAGTGTGGTAAGTGCTTTTGCCAAAAACGGAGATCTAAAGCGACATGAAACAACACACTCAAGAGAGAAACCTTTTGAATGTGACCAGTGTGGCAAGTGTTTTAGTTTGCCAAAAGGTCTAAGCCAACATAAAAGATTTCACACAGGCGAGAAGCTTTTTAAATGTAACCAGTGTGGGAAGTGTTTTAATCATACAACAAATCTAAAGGCACATAACAAGAACACACACCGTTGAAATAGCCTTTTGAAATGTAACCAGTGTGGCAAGTGCTTTAGCTGCAAAGGAAGTCTAAAGGACACATAAAAGAAACACACACCGATGAAGAAGCCTTTTGAATGTAACCAGTGTGGCAAGTGCTTTACCCGCAAAGGAAGTCTAAAGACACATAAAAGAAACACACACCGGTGAAAAGCCTTTTGCATGTAACCAGTGTGGGAAGTGCTTTAGTCATGGAGGGAATCTAAACCAACATAAAAGAAACACACAACGGTGAAAAGCCTTTTGCATGTAACCAGTGTGGTAAGTGCTTTAGTCATGGAGGGAATCTAAACCAACATAAAAGAAACACACAGGCGAGAAGCCTTTTGAATGTAACCTGTGTGGGAAGTGCTTTAGTCATGGAGGGAATCTAAACCAACATTAAAGCCACACATGATGCAGGAGAAGCCATGCACGGACGAGGAGCATGGACAATTGCTTCAGTATCTGTGAAACTGTTTAAGCAACATTAAAGAAATCAAACAAGAATGAAGCCCTTTTGGAGTTATTTTAATTATCATTTGCTATTTTCATATAGTGTTATTCAGCTTATTTAGTGTACGTTTTTAATATATTGGATTTTGATTACCTTTCGATTGAATTAATATTTTAGTGTGCATTATACGTTTGAGATCAGAAAATCGGAGCTGTACTTATCGCGGTAATTAAGTCAAAACGAGAAACCAGATCGTCGTAGGTTACACACACGTGCCAAAATTTACAGTTTGATGTAGGCATACTTTAGTATGACCGGTGTACGGAAGGTCATGGGTTCGATTCCCGTTGGGGACTCAGATTTTTTTCTTTGTCCCACCCTCGTGACAAACTGAAAACAGTTACTTACTACAGTACCAACTTTACATTTATTACCACACATGGGACGCTTTCGACATTGCTGACTCTAGCAGTATGCAGGACGCGTGTCACATATGAACCTAGTATATGACCGCTCACTTCATGAGATAGTCCGTTGCTCGGTGGTGAGAGCGTCCGACCGGTTGTATGGGAAAGTCATGGGTTCGATTCCCGTCGGGACTCAGATTTTTTTCTTTGTCCCACCCTCGTGACAAACTGAATACAGTTACCACGATATGCATATGAAAGTTGGAAAAGTTCTCGTGGGAACTTTTCCAACAATTTTAAATGACTTATGCTTTGTTTCTGTACGAGGTTGGCATATTCCAGATTCGAGTCAATTAGTTTTGCCATGAACTCCATCCTCGTTCCCAGAGCTCCTCGTTTTTTTTTCTTTGCGCCGGAAAACGAGTAGCCTTGGTCGCAAGGAAAATATCGAATTTTTTCATTGGCTGATTAAAAATGAATGCGCAAACACGAATTAATGAATGGTATGTCCGGAATTTTCGGACATCCGGTAACGGCTGCGACCAGAGCCTCCGTTTCGCCAAACCACGTGACCAAAAAGAAACAGAGGATCTGGGAACGAGAATGCCATGAACTCGTGAAACACTATTGTTTTATTAAGCGGCCCATGCGCAGCGGCCGCCTTCAAGAAATGCACTTTTTTTTTCTTGTCGCTAGCCTTAGTCCTCTTCACGGTTGACATGATCTTATCGCATCTCGGTCTGAAATTAGCCAGTAGAGAATTTCTCTTCCACATTCTTTCTGTAGTGTCGTGTAAGTGCGTTAGATGTATTTAGTTTATTACAGTAATCGCATTGGAAAAAGCAAAGACAAATGTCCCATAGCAGTCGAAACAGTGCGTGTTGTTGCAAAATGTGCTAAATTTGGCTGGTGTGACCTTTGCGTTGTGAGGGGTGTTCCCCGTTACATTGTAAACGTAGCCAGGAGACATGCAAATAAATAGCCACAAGAGAATTTATGTTCTGTTTAATACATGCACCTCAACCAGTAAACGAACGATAAAAACCCGGTCCCAAAAACATAACAGTTTTTCTTAACACAATTCCACAGCATATATGTCATTCACAATTTATTTTCACGTGAGCGAAAAACATATCTTTGCCCACGTCGAATATGATGCAATCTACATTAGCTAAAATTAACCACAAGAGAATTTCTCCGGCTTCCGGAGCATGATGCAATATATTACATCAGGCAGTCACGTTTTTCGTCACGCAGGTTCGTGTGTTGACTCTTAGGATTTGGAGGGTGCACCTCAGAGGTCCAGTGACCCGCGGATAGTTTTTTCGTGTCGTGTAAGAGCTCTTTTCATGTAAAAGAAACAAGCGAAAATATTTAATATAGACAAGGGAAAATAACCTCAACTACTCGAGAAGAGCCACTACAGAGCAGGAAATGGAGGGGTCCGTGTCACGAAGTAACGAAAGTTAATTTATATTTCTTATATTTATATTTCTCGTCACGCATGTTCGTATGCTGACTCTCGCCTCATTTTAGGGGTGCACCTCAGAGTACAGTGACCAAGGGGGAGTCGGGGGAGGAGAGATCGATTGTTGTTTCCCACCCATTATTAAGGTAATCGGCCGCTTGTAAACTACTTTAGGAGTTCTGTTTAATCCTTCGTTAATTGAGTTTTTTTTCGTTCGCCTGCGCGAATGTTATAACGTCAGCTCCTGGTTATACTTTTACTTCGCTTAAGTTTGTGTTAATTTAGTTTACTGATACTGAAAACTATTCTGGCCCCGTTGCCAGCTCAAACAAGAACTGTGAAATCTTTGGTTCATTACCTGCGAACAATCGAACACTTATATTTAGCGCGAGCTTTAGTCCTTTGAGTCCTGTATGTTTATGTAACGTCGGTCACGTTCCGTTAAGATTACATCGCGTCCTGTCCAGCCCACAACAGTGATTGGTATCGAAAATACTTTCCATTGGAGGTTTTTCGTGATTTACAGTTTTAGTTTTCCAACCGAAATCAATTTGTTATAAATTTATGATTATTTTTAGAAACCAATCCGCGGTTTCATCGCATCAAAGGCTCCGCCTGGATTTAGGCGGGACTTAACCTGAATGCCATTTTTCCGCGAGCTTAACATGGGTTAAATGGAAATATCTCGTTCACGTTTTCAAGCCAATCCAAAAACTCTATGCTCATCCCATGAATCTATGTTATGGGGTGTTTTGTAAATGTTTGGGTGATTTTTGGGTATATTTGGGAGGAAATAGTTTTACTCAAAGGAATTGTAAAATTTAGGGAAATAAGAAATATTGAAGATTTGATTGTAGTTTTTTAAAATTAGAATTTGAAGTTAAAAATTAGTAGATTGACACCAACATAGCAGACAGTTGATAACCACGCAAGAGCACCCGCGTGGGTATCAACTGACTGTTGGTGTTCCAAAAATTATTTTCTTTCTTCTATCCCTTCTTTAAACCTCTTAAATTTCAAGGAAATTTAGCGTGAAGTCCCGCCTTAAGTTCTATCAAATGATGTTTTAAAAATGGTTTGTCGACCAATCACAGCTTGTGGCATGGGGACTCTGTGCTTTCGTATTACGCGTTGGTTACAAACTGTAAAGGCTCAGTCAGTTACCTTAGAAGCTGATTAAAGGTATTTGTGTGCAAAAACTGTCTTTTAGTCCTTGAGTAGCCCCCTCGGGGGGGACTCCCATAGCAGAGGGCAACAGGCAACTCGACAATGGGCAATTATGCAACGCTGTTTTTGTTATACTGTAAATATTTCTCTCTTGACTTGTTCTTTTTTTCACACTGATGGAATTTTAGCGAATGTTAACGACAGTAGAAACATGTACTGCCCTCGTTATTTTTGGCCCGAACAAGACAAGCGGCACCCAACGGATCCACGGTTTCAGTGGAATATATATTTCAGTGAAAGGCTTATAATCGCGCCTTTAAATGATATTCGAATTAAAGTGCGATCACAGTATGTGAAACGCAGTATGACATAATCAAACGAATCTGCAACCTCGTCCCCAGAGTCTCTCGGCGTTCAAAATGGCGGACGCGAAGAAGACCCTGGCAAACAGCAGATCACGTGACCACAAAATTAGCAAATCGCGAGCTCGCCGCCGTTTTGAAACAATCAAAATCTCCAATATTTTTGGAGACACGTGACCTGCTATTTGCCAGGGCTATGCGCCGGCCGCCATTTTGAACGCGGATAGCCCTTTTTTTCTTTTCTTGTTTATAAACTTATATATATATATTATTGTAATTCTTTAAAAAATAAGTGCAAATAAAAATGAACTTGAACTTGAACCTGGGGACGAAGTTGACGAAGTTGACCGAATCTGCGTAAAACACACTGTCAACCAATCAGGAGCGAAAGCAAAACTAATCGTTTTCCCGCGCTTGGCACCAGTTGCCTGTTTTGCTTCGAGTTCTGACTGTTTCGTTTAGACTACTTCCATTTGTTCTGATTGGCCAAATGTCAGTTAACTTTGGTTTTGGTTCTACGACAGTCATTTAGAAACTGGTCTTATTTACCTTAATAATCAATTACTCTGTTTTTCACTTGCTCGCCGACACAAACGAAGCAGTTTCTTTAGAAAATAATTATTCTCATTGGTTGAGCTATGAACCTGATAATTGGTTAAAAAAAAACACAGCATATTTGGTTTGATTCATAAGATAATGCGACGCGCAAGTTTTTTGAACAAATTTCAGAGCTCCGCCTAAGCAAACACAAGACGTACATCCGTTATTGGCCATTTTGGAAATGTAAATCTAAAAATGTCTAACTTGGCTCCAGGGTTCAATACATAATCCCATTCGAAACTTTTAGCGATTGGATATTTTAAGCTCCTAGTTGAAAAGATTTGGCCTCCAAAACGTTTTGGTAACGAAGCCATCACCGGTGGGGGAACTCCCCTTATTGTGCGCCTATACGGGGACGTACCGCTGGACAGGGTTATGGTTTTTGGTCTCTCTGCCCTGAACAGGATATATAATTTAATGCGAGTCTTTTCTAAAACAGGGTCTGAACCTGTCCTATAAAACAGGGTATGGTTGCACGATTGTCGTCGAAAAAAATATGGTTTATACAGTATTTAGAGATCGGAGACGTTTGCCGCGTATCAGTTTCAAACGGGATTCGCTAAATTTGCAAACCTAAAACTGGAGTCCTAAAATAGATGATGTTGTCCTACACAGGGTAGGTATTTTAGGGTTTTTTATTGTTTTTTTTTGTCCTAAACAGGGTCAGGTTTTTTCAAACCCTCAGCGGCACCCCTATACCCAAACATGGGTCAAGTAACCCCCCCCCCCCCCCCCCTCCCGAGCCATCATCAGTCCCTTTGAGCTCCGGGTGGAGCTAAGGGCTTCAATTCAGCATCGAGTATACTACCACTGCACACGGTTCTGAACCGCTTTCTTCACTGTGTTCCAGCGAGAGTCAGGTAGTTACTGATTTCTTCATCTCTTCCTCAATTGATCTTCACCGCGTTTTCTTTTTTTTTCTAAGTATACAGAACCCTCGGTTTCTCGAACCTCCCGATAGCTCGAACCAAAAATCTGTTTCCCTTGGATTTGCCCCACTCAAACACTATAATTTTACCCCCGATTTCTCGAACCCTCGATAACTCGAAACTCCCGGCAAACTCGAACCAATTCGTGGATCCCGTGAGAAAAATCAACCATCGATAGCTCGAACCTTGAAGTTTTAAAGTGCCAGTTTTAAGGTTAAGGGGAACTGACAAGGTTTATTCATAGCCAATGTATGCAATAACGGCCGAAAATTTGACAAAAAGATCTTTCTTATTAAAATCATTCGCCAAAGACAGATTCGTAGCTCTACTCGCAGTGCGGTGCATGCTTTCATGATTTCAGAGAGTGGCGAGAGCTTCGTTTGATTTATAACCTTTTCTATCACCATCTTCGCGAGGACCTGCGTTTTGGGTACGGTAAACGGACAGGCTAGGATTTATTTAGGGGGACTTAAATATATTCGGAATTTTACGGTATGCTTTCTGGCGATTGTTCCCGATCTTCCGTTCGTGAGAAAACGAGTCCATTCCGGTCTTGAAATTTATGATCGATTTAGTTGTCGAAGAAAAAGATTGGGCTCTAGTGTCTTCAATCAGAACGATCGTCTCGGCGCTTTATTGACGGTTTTGCTTCAGTATAAAAGGTAAGGAA